AAATTGAGACGCCACCACTGCAAATTCAGATATGTACTCGGCACTTACGGCCTCTGCGGCACGGGGCCTCGCTTTATAGGTCTCATCCAAAAGACCGGTCTCCACGTTCTGCAGTAGGATTCGAATTCGCCACGCAAGGATCATCTCCTTACACCACGACTCTAGAGCAAGCGCTCTAACCACTGCGCCACGTGGGCAACAAGATTAAGTTGAAGTTACATTAATCATAAAGTTTAGTTCTGAGTTTGCTATTATGTCTTTCTCAAACAAAAAAATGGAATACGAAACACGTGTGAAACTCTGCAGTGTCTTTTATTTCGAGATCAAAGGGATATACCGGTATCGAATCAACGAGGAAATGAATGTGAATACATGTATAGTCAATTTATGCAACGTCCTCGATACATGTATATCTAAATATCGAAATGAAGTACACAGCAAGGATTTCTTCTGAAGTTTCTGAATAAGCTATGCTTCATAATGACTGCTAACAAAGGGGCATAACTAAACCAATCGAAATTCCGACAGATTGTTGGAAGGCTACTTAAATAACATGAATAAGAAACACCAGCATCTTTTAATATCAACTTTAGAGTACTTGTGTATTGAATCAGAATAATTTTTAGGATCGACCCCCCCCCCCCATTTTTTTTAGTACTTCAATGAAAACATTCTTAACTAGGACTATTCAACATCAATACACGAAACAAACATGAACACAACATAATTTCATTCATGTTGTTCAAGTTAATCACAATCCACGTTTTCCCCTCTTAATGCAATTGTTGGGTATTGTTGTTGAATTGCAAAATTTAAATGTTATCTTCATTTGTTCGTTATGTATTTGAATATATCTGAACTACAAAGTACATATTTACATGTACTGGTATCTATAGTGACTATAGAATTTATAAGAATAATTTCTGTACATACAGGTAGAATGCTTTAACCTTACAGTTAGAGATTTACATTATAGACATAAAATCTCAGTAGTATGAATTAAATTTTTAGAATAAATTAAATTTGTTTCAAGGTGTTAAAATAGGATGTTAAATGAAAGACGTTGAACAATTTATACGTACTAAGAACTTCAATTTCTCCAAAGATACGCTTGTTGGATTTGCTCGAAACGATTGACATCAACTCAAATTAAAAACTGCAATACAATTAGTTTCAAAGCGATCTTTCAACCTAGAAGTTTCAAACAAGTATTCTGCATGTAAGAATGTTGGGTTTTAAATGAAATTTTATAGCTGAAAATCAATAGCCTTTTCCTAAAAGAGTAATGATTTTCTTGAGAATCTCAAATAGCATGAATAGCTCTTTAATCCAGTGCAGGCATGGCACACAATATAAATACCGATGATTTTTTTTTATAATAAAAACATGTTTATTTGGTCGGTGTTTTTTTTTATAGAACTTCTCCAATATCGAACAAAGATAATTCTTAGGAAAAGTTTAACGTTAAGGAATTAAGATTGGTCAGATGATATGGTAGTCACATCGATTTTGGAAATAAAACTTTAATATTTTTTAATTATTTTTCTTCCGAATCATTATTGCATAGGCGTTATTAAGTTAAAACTCAAAGTAAGTTTATTTGAATAATAATAAAAAAAAATCAAGAGTAAATTCAAATTCATAGGCGAAAAAAGCTGAAACGCACCATGATCGATTTCAAAAAACCTGCAACCAATACAAATCTGTGAACAGGATATAAAACACGGAACCCTGGAAATTTCAGAGGTGGATAAGGTGTCTGTGAGAAGTAAACATCCCATGTCGACCGGTCAAAACCGATGTGAGCCCTTATTGATCAGGTAGATGGAGTACTCCGTAGTCAAATTTAGCATAAAAAGCAATGACCTAGCTAACAATTAGTATGAAAATTTATCAGTCAAAATACGACCCACTAATAGATTGTATTTAGTAACAATGTTTATATATGGACCGTAGAATTTTCGAAATACTGATGGAATATCTTAAACATCAACTTATTTGTCACTATCCTTTCTCTATTTAAACATTGATATTACTCAAATCATGTTCTTGCGTACTGAATAAGTTGGGAGACATGAACACCACATGCAAATAATAGCGGAACATTATTACATAATTAAGGAAAGTTGATGATGGAAAAGCTGAGTAATTTTCCCTTGTCATACAGTTTAGTTGTTAGTTGGCCCTTATCGTCTATAGTCCGTAAATATCCAAATATGAAACAGATGTGACATACTCTGTGGTGTCTTTTGTTCGAGTTCTCTGAGGTATATGGCATCGACATGTTGAATGTTAATGGATGATTTCCATCAAAGTACTATTTCCCTAATGAAAATATACTATGGATTACTATAGTTTACAATTAACTATAGTATCAAAGTTTTCACTATAGTAAATCAAAGTATTTTACTATGGATTTCAGATTGTTATTTATGGTCTATAGTTCAAACATGCGTATTAGTTATATTATATGGAAATATTACTTGAATATTAACATATTATTTACAAATTTTACATCAGTGGTATTGAATTTTAGAGATTTTAAACATTGAAAATCTCAAAAAAGTTCTAAAGTTAAGTTTCATAGTAAATAAAAGTATCAAAGTATTTACTATAGTTAACTATAGTAAACTATAGTTAACTATAGTCACTATATATAATCACTATAGTACATTTTTGTTAAAGTTTATTCATTTGTTTTGTTTTTCACATAACAAAATAATAATTGACTGTGTTTTCGGGCAACATTGATTATGATCATGTAGCTCCCTCAGGACGAAAATATTGCTGCTCTGCGTCGGGCAATATTTCCTCCTTCGGGGCGTAATAATCAATGTTGCCCTCAACTTCAGTCAATATTTATAAAGTATATCACCAGTGCATTACATCTGAATTTAGAACAGATGATTTTTTTTTTTTTTTTTTTTAAATATTATGTCTTTTGATTTGACAGTGATGAGTGAGTTCCATTGAACATTCCTTTGGTAAATATTTGCAAAACAACTTGAGTTATAAGTCACAAAAAGCCCCTAAAATTTGATCCGAAAATTGTAGATCGTCTGTAATCGAATATCATGCAAAGACAATTATACTACTTTTGATAAAAATATTTATGGATAACTGATAGGGTGATGCTCTGTTCGGCACGCTATGTGACTTCTTCAAGCATAATCATAACACATTCTTTATGAATTAGAATGGCCATTTATTGAAAAAATAAATGAAAGTTTTCAACATAGAGAGCAATGTACTTAATAACAGTATTATACAAATCATGAAAATTCTGTCATATACAAAGAGTTGTCTTCAGTGACTTAAAAAGTAAAAGATAATACAACAATGATGACAAAGATGGTTTGAAAAAATAACAAGTTCATTAAAAAAAAAATTTACAGATTTCTGAATTTCCGAAGAAAAAAAATGCAATAAAAATTCTTTTATTGATAATATTTTCAATGTTTCAGCGATTCAACTGTATATTAAAATTTTGATTGGCGATTTTAAGCGCCATTGCTCTAGCCTTAAAAGGGACTGAATGGCGTCTTTCATTTCTGTTGGGAAACATATAAATTTTCACAGTATGCAAGGATCCTGGCTTGTAAAAAAGGCTCTTAACTTCAAATACTTCCGAAGGAAAAAAACCAAAACCAAAACAAAACAAATCGTTCAATTTAGTCGCTGATCCAAGTTATAAATGGCTTCCTTTTTGTCTTCCTGGATAATTAACTAATTCTCAGCTTTTTTCTCTGCTAGAGGATCATACTTAAAAGAAATAATTTCCATGAGAAAAGAAAGATCATTCAGTTCAAGTTTATAATTACTGCAGTCTTTCTGTAGGATTGATTAATTTAACTTCAAAATCTCTTCGATCTATTTATTTTAACAATCAGATATTAGTGAAATTACAGCGAGGACCTTTTATCCCCCAATCAGGACGGTATTTCAAGCTAATTAAACGTACATTGTAAAATAATTATAATATGTACTATGTAGCAAAAAAGAATGTTGTTTGCTAAAGACGTAAATAACTCCCCGATATAAAAATTGAAATTTTGAGGTGTTATTTCAAAATATTTTTTATTTAAGTCACAGCTTATCGCAAACTCGTTGATACAATATTTCTGTTGGTATGTTCGCTTCAAAGGTAACTTAATATATGTATATTACAAGTTTAACATGGTCAAAGGGAAATGATCTTGATTGATACGTGATGAAATCCTGAGAAGTGTGGATTTTATCATGTCCACATTATTTAAAGACGCCAGAAGAGAGTTGATATAAATCGTCAAAAGCGCCCAATTGAAATATTTCGACCTCGATCGCTTTAATTTGCTCCAGGACAGTAGTTTCTTTATTGAGACCACTTAAAAACGAAGACGTGTGTACATGCTGTGCTTTGTCTTTTCAACTATTTATATATAAAAAAATACTACTCAAATTCTTCGAAGTATGTTATCAAAATGTTTAGGAAGTTACTTATATTGAATTTTACTTAAGAAAGGGACATTGCAAGCTAAAAACTGGAAGTCATAATGTAGGATAAATGGAGAATTGCGCATGGAAATTGATAGCAAACTGGGCTGTACAAAATTAATACAAATTCTCATATATACATGTGCTGAATTAAAAAATAAAGTAAAATAAAATAAATAAATAAATAAATATAAAGGGTATTATAAGGTAAGGATGTGTTTTTCTTTACAAAAATCATCTTTATCATGTTTATTTTTTAAAAACAATCTTCATTTTGAGTAATGAATTTTATTTTTTGTTTAAGCCTTGTCTGGATGAAACAAGGTTTACATTTTTATAACTTAAACATCTTACAAAAACTGTCAAGGAATGTAGTTGAGTTGATATAGCCCGAAATTATGAAATTTCTTTAAACTGAAAGGAAAAAAAAATTATAATTTTATTTAAAGAAAAAAATTACTTTTCATACTAAGTAGATAAACATATTTCTATATATTTTTTCTTTTGCAGATATTTCCTTCATAAATATGGAAAACGAAACAATCGAAACATTTTTAGAAAGATTGGATCTGAAAGATGACATCAAAAAATTCAAACGAGAAGATATTGATATGGAGACGATGAGTTTTATAACAGAAAGCCACTTGGTGGAAATGGGCCTTTCCTTGTGGAAACGAAGGAAAATCTTAAATGCAATAAAATTAAGAGCAAAAGGTTGTTATTATACAGAAGTTTGCTATGAGGATTCATTTTCATTTCCAAATCAATCTGTGACATACATTTGTAACATTATAAAATGTTCAAACTTGTCTTTTCTTAATAATATTCTAATGATAAATAGAGTACTTCTTTAATGTACGTAAAATTTCTTATTGTTCAAATGTCTCTAAGAATTAAGAAATATTTATGAATTGAATGTTAAAAAATTCTGTCACAAAAATATTTGCTACTCTATGACAATTCGAAGACATTTCAAAAGGTTCTGAAAATTGTAAAGGATAGTGTTATTGTTTAAATACTTTTTCATCAGCGTTATTGTTTATACCTTTTCATTATTATTATTGGTATCATTTGCATTCATTTCCCTTTAAGAATTTTTCACGATAATATTTGATTCAGTATTTAGACGTTTTAGCGTATCAAAATCGTACAGTTTCACAACCTATGTAAAAACTCGATAAAAGGGTATTTCAGCAGTTTAATGATAAAATTTATAAGATGGGGAAGTCCATTTTAATTTTCTAAATAAAAATTTCTTTATTATATTACAGAAAACGTAGAAGAGATCAGACTAGTACTGATAGGAAAAACAGGCAATGGAAAAAGCGCCACTGGAAACACAATTCTCGGAGAGAAGTTGTTTGAATCAGGTGTCTCTGGATCATCCATTACGAGCAAATGTTCAAAAAGATTCGCTTTTCGATTTGGGAAGAAAATTATTATTGTAGATACTCCAGGTATTTTCGATACTAAAATATCAAACGAAAAAGCCCAGGAGGAAATTTTTAAATGTTTAAGCATCATATCACCGGGTCCTCATGCTTTCATTTTGGTTCTTAGTATTACTAGATACACAGAGGAAGAACACAATTCAGTCATGCACTTTGTGAAACATTTTGGGGATGAATTCTATAAATATTGCATTGTTTTGTTCACCCGAAAAGATGATCTAGATGAACACGGAAAGACATTATCGCAACATATTCAATCTCTTCCCAGGGAACTAAAATCATTTATCGAAAAGTGTAGTGGAAGAGCTATAGCTTTCAATAATAAACTGAAAGGGGAGGAAATGAATTTGCAAGTTGACCGCCTATTGTCAATTATTTTAAGAATCAGACGAGTGAATGGGAATAAATGGTACTCATATTCAACGCGATGAAAAGTCGAACGTGTTCTCAAGGAGGAGGAGGAGAAGAAGGAAAAGACTGAAAGAACCTCAAGAAAACAAAAGAATGAAAACATATTGGATGTTCCAGTGAAACTTCTGTTAGAAAGGATACAGATATGCATTGTCTACCATTAAAATTTAATGAATTGTCATTTAAGGAAGAATGTTTCATCTTAATTACTTTACAAACATGTGCATAAAATCTCCAATAAAATTATCAAATTTGATTTCTTTCTTGACCAAAAAAAAAAAAGAAAAATAATATAAAAAAAAAATTTAAAAAAAAAAAAAACACCAGAAAAAAGTTTTCATCTTGTACCTGGCCATGGGCTTGTACTTAAAATAGAAACTACTGTACAATAACTCAGATTGAAAATGTAATTCAAAGGCTTTTAATGATAAATTATTTTGGCGTTACTGGGAATGAAATTAATACCATATATGGTAATGCCATTTGAACAATTTTGAAAATGAACAAAATTTGTAATAAATATTTGTTTTTTAATTGAAATATCGAAATATCGAGAGAGAGAGAGAGAGAGAGAGAGAGAGAGAGAGAGAGAGAGAGAGAGGGAGAGTTGTAATCGCCGAAACCATTCGAATTTTATAATGTGAGTGTAGGCAATATGAGTAAATGAAGAAGTTCCAAAATCTTCCAGAAAAAAAATACAAATCAAACGAATAATGTGACATGTTATTAACTGTTTGATTATGTCAACGTTATTCCTTTTCATTCCTCAACTTTTTGAGTTTTTCGACATATATTCAAGTTCATTTTTCTACGAAAAGGAAAAGTGGGATGAAGGGTTCAAAGATGTCGAGAATACCAGTAAAACGTATACTTTGATAAATTGAAATTAAAGAAAAATTCATTGCAATGTGCTATCTGATTTGACAGGTAACTGCTGTATATACTGAACTAACATTTAATAATGATATATACTAACCATAACTTTTTTAGGATCTTCATCGTCTTTGTGACATAATATCGACAAGCAATTGCATTTTCTTGGTGAAATGGATTATTTACGTTTCACTTTCATATCCAAAAGGGACTTACAATGGGACATGATAAAGTTCTGAAATCAAAAGAAACGTTCATTTAGCAATTTCATTACGTGACAGCCAGCTCCAAGGGGGAGATATTGCACTAGAAAATAAGTAGTGACAGATTTATTTCCTCAAGGTTAATATATGCAATGATTTCTTTGTTGTATTTCCTTTCAGTGTTAAATCATTTGAATGTCGAATGGAACAAAAACCTCTGTGCAATTGGGCTCTATTCATTTTTTTAAATTTAATACTACATGTACTTGAGTACGCTCTGCGATTGAATATCTGATAAATTGATTTGACACGGTATTCACTACAAGAATATTAAATTAGAAAAAAAAACCCAAAAGTATTCTTAATTAAATATGCGTAAATCTATATTATTATGTTGTATAGACTCAAAATGATGAAGATAAAATGCAAAATTTAAATCAATATTGATTTAAAGCAGGCCAATGCAATTAATGCGCCTTGTCCTCACAGCACAAACTATGACCCTGGATCCAAGTTCTTAAACCTTTTATTCATCAGACACCTACACTTAAAAGTCCTAATCCATATCTAAATAAATAGAAAGGCTTTCAAGTTAGATAGCACTGTAAATAACTGAGATGTGTTGCAGAAGATATCACCACCGTCGTACATGTACAAAGTTTGTTAAAAAATCAATACTCTCCGCACGTTTTCAAAAAAATTGTATTTGGCTCAATATATTTCAACATAATATGACAGAAGTTTTAAGTTGGCAGGTGCATAAGAAGGTAAATATCAATAAAATTGTAGCAAATTAGGACATATATCCAAACTAGGATACATTGGAATTTTTCAGGAAACAATCAACTTGACCAGTATTTGTGACGTCTTTGATGCAATTAATTTAATGTCCAATTATTTTACTGAAAAGCATTATAAGAATATTAAGAATACGAAGGTTGTCCCAGATTGTCCCAACATTTTTTGAATACTACATAGAAATTTTATTAAAGTATCTCAATAAATGACAATTTTCTTTGAGTTAAACGGATCTAACATGAGTTGTTGGCGCAAAACTGACGATATCAACACATAGCTCGCGGCGCCTTTGAAATTAAATGGGAATCTTGAGTCTTTTATTCAGAAGTATAAAATAAAAAAAAAATCTACACTACAGTCAGTTTTCAATTAGAAACCCACTGTATCCATCTCACACATACTAAAGTCTTCGAAGGATCGCAGAAATTAATGTTTTGATAGCCAATTTTCAAATCAGGATACAACTTTTTAAGTAGCTAACGCCACGTATGGTTTTTCAGTTTATAATCAATTTTTTTGGTCTACCAAGAGCTTCGTCCATTGCATAACCAGTCATAATTCTTGAACCTCATTTGCCAGGTCAAGTTATCATCTAATCTCCAAGACATGTTTGTGATGTTCCATCTCATTTTCTGTATGGACAGAAAGTATATTTGACGATAATTAACACAAAGTGTTTGTACATATAACGTCATATAATTAAGAAGAAAGAGGGTATGGCCCTTCATTTGAAAAAAAAAAAAAAAAAAAAAAAACTTGAATACCCTTCACCCAAGGATACTCCGTGACAAGTTTGGTTGAAATAGGCACATTGGTTCTGGAGATCAGAATATGAAAAGTTTATGACAATGACGACGGCATTAACTTAAACCTTCGGCTGAGGTGAGCTTAAGACTGAAAATTTTGCGATGCGCCGACCCCTATATTAAAATGCGTCAATGCCGTTAAATATATCCATATGACAATACAACCTCATAATATTTTGTCAAAAAGACTGAAGTATCAGTTCCAGGCAAATTATAAAAAATGAATTATTTTGTTTAGGTTGTTTCCAAGGAACGTTAAGGAAAGTCCTGAGTTCTAATTTTTCAAAGAATGCAAAATCCCACCAATTGATAACAATACTGTCTAGTATTTAGAAACAAATATAATGTCATATATGACGTCATTGAGATGTTTAATTAAATAAAAATAATCGTCAATTTTTCAATCTAATCAATAAGACTGAAAACAAAAGATTTCCAAAAACAATTGTGCATATAAATAATTTAGCCACACCATATAAAGCTGCACAGCGCCAGCAAATGTAAAGTAAATCACTAATATGATTAACATGATCCCAATTAATAAACCTCAAAAGATAAAGGCATACACTAAATTGTTTAAACTTAAATAGGGAATATCATTTGCTTATATCATGAATATTTTAAAAATTGCTGGGAGTTGATCCTGGTCTGAAGAATATTTTATTAATTCAGAATAATTCAATCAATGGTCGATACAATGACCTTGTCAGCAAATATAATTTATCACACTGAATTGTCGACGGATTTTTCCTTTATTTCCCGATCATGACAAGGAGCACAAGGCGGGTGTGACCGGTCGGCTGGGGATGCTCACTCCTCCATGGCACCTGATCCCACCTCTGATGTTTGGACGTCCGTGTTTGCTCTGCTCCTATTTTGTATTGTTAAATGGACTTTTGAGCTTGAATACTGTTCGTTATCTCCATATATTTCATCATACAGTCAAATGCTGACTGACATTTTTCATACTAATTTTTAAGCTATTATTTACACATTGAATTGTCTACAGATTTTTCCATTTTCCTGATCATCAGGAGCATACGGCGGGTGTGACCGGTCGGTAGGGGATGCTCACTCCTCCATGGCACATGATCCCCACTCTGATGTTTTAGAGGTCTGTGTTTGCTCTGCTCCTAATTTGTATTGTTTCAATGAACCTCTGAGCTTTAATACTGTTCTTTATTATATACCAAACTGTTTGTCACTCAGTTTTACTGTTGAATTTATGCAATCACGTGACGGTGTGATCCGACGTTCCGGATCACCACACTGTGGTTTTTTGAATCCATATCACCCCTCTCTGAAATTGATGACGTAGTACACAGATAAATGACGTTTGTTTTCTCGCGCATCAAAAAGTTCCATGACAAAATGGTTTGTTAAATGGAAAAAAGTTGTGTAATTCATCCAAAAAGTTCCTTTTATTATATTTTGCTAGTTGTAAAGGGGTGTATAATAAATTTATCATTATAACAGTAACTTGATCCGATATTATATTTGTAGAGAATTTTAAAAAGTTGAAGGGTCTAACCCTTTTCCTGAATGAAATTCAGCCAAATATGATTTTTGATATAGAATAATTAATCGTTTTGAAGCATAATTTTTATTGATTTTCATTCGATAATTAACGCGTATTTTTTTATTACAACAACAACAACAAAAACCCAAGATGAAAAATTCGTTTTTGTACCCCTTCTTTCGAAATCTATACCAAAGTGCACTTTTTATACAGAAGTAAAATGTGAAAACAAACATTGATCAACCTCATCAATCCAGTAAATAAAACTAAGCGTTAACAAGACCAAAACACGAACCTCTGGAATCACTAGAGGTCTGATCAGGTACCTAGGAGTAAGCATCCCTTGTTGACTGGTCACACCTGAGTTTTGATCGAGTGTACGGAGTACTCCGCAGTCATATCCAGTACAAAAAAACATGGCCTAACAAATGGTTTGAAACAAGTTAGACATGTACAACCCAACGATATGCTGCATTTACAAAGAATTTGCAAAAAGCTGACATTAAACGGAGGTTGCTGAAATCCTTGCTACTTCGACTTATTTGTAGGTAGCTTACATTGTTTTAAAAATCGATCATTCCAGAGCTTGCTCTCGCATATATCATGAGTTGGGAGATATAAAAATCATACGCAGGTGAAATTGGAATATTACTACATACATAAGGCAAATTGACGTTCATGTAGAAGTTGAAGTCATCCCGTTTGTCATACAGTTAAGTTATTAACTGGCCATTATCGTCTATAATCAGTATAACATGTGAATATTAAAGAGATGTTACAAACTCTGTAATGTCGAATCGACATAAGAATGAAAAGTAACT